AGCTGATGGGACACAAAAACAGGTCATTTTTAAATGGCTACATAACTGAGCGTTCAATAAAAATGTTCTATTCAGGGATGCACTGCAGTTCGTGGTTTAGACTTTATTATAGTGATATAATGAATTCTTGTTGATTGAAATGTCAGAAAACGAGTTGATCTCGGTGATAAAAGTAAAAGTTTGCATGATATCACGCGATCAAGGGTTGATTCGTTGGTAACATGTGTATTCGTTGGCAACATTCCGTATTTGTAGGTAACATCAGTCAGTGTGTTTGAAGTTGTAAGTCTTGTTCAGGGCTGTCACTGATGCACTTGCGAACATAGGATAATTGAGACTGTAGTAGAATTTAGTTGCATGGGTTTAGTAATTAGATTTGTCAAAGGTATGTCTTATTCGTAGGTAGCTCGTTTTGTAGTTGAAACTTCCTGTAAATGTCTATCTAATAGCAATTGTCATTGCAAAATAAGGGTAATTAATGCAGAGTTATAGTTCAGTAAGACGCATAATGTATTGATTGTTTTAGTGACATGTTTATCTGTACATAATGGTATATGGTATACGGTAATAGTTCAAGCGTTTTAAACATTTGTGATGTGCTTTCTTTGAATACAAATGTCAGTTGAAACATTTGGCAAAAATAATTTTAGGTGTATTGATTTTAGTTCAATTCTCTTTACTTCTCATGTACGTAGACTCACTAGTGTAAATATAGCCACTTACTTCAGGCGACTGTTTACACATGAACTGATGTATTGTAAAACAAATTTGTAACGTTGAAAAGATTAATTTTCAAATATAAGAAAGCTGTTGGGTATTAGTAAATGATAAACATGTGTACTATTTATATTTATGTGACAATTTTGTACAATGATAAAATTTGCAATTCATCGGTCCGTTTCTGACTCAAACGGACTGTAGGAGTTGATGAACTGCGTGCCAATACCAGGCTACTCAATGGCACCATCACTGTCCTGGAGGACACAGACTCAGTATCCCGCCTACTTGGTGATTGACAACAGTGATGTAAGGGTCTACCCTCATTACCCCTACACTCTTAATTCACTTACACTTTTTGGGGTCTAAAAGTGTAACGGCCATGGGGGTCTTAAATAAACACCGTAGATGATGTCCACCCTCTCATGTAGAATGGACTCTTTCAATCTGTATGTAAAACAAACAATATATTATACCTGATGCGTTTATTGCTGGACAAAAGGATTATACAAATCGCATCTGTTAAAAGGTATTTCTTGTCATTTATATTGTATATATTTTTCTCATAACAATATCCATGAAAATGTACATAAATATTAAAATGGATTGTAACATCAATTGATAATGTAATAGCTTAAGAATGAAAAGTTGATAAAAAATACAAAATTTAAAAAGTCATAACTAAAATGATAGCAAAAAGCTTAGCAATAATAATGCTAAAACATAAAACGTTAAAATGCTAAAATGCCTAAATTCCAAGTTTCACCAAATGTTCAACAGCATCTAAAAAGTCCATTTACTTTCTGTGTTTCTTACGAATGCCATGTCGAAATGTGCTTTGAAATGCAATATACATATGAAAAAGACTACATTCTAATATGAGTAAGCAAGCTAAAAGCTGGCAGTCATTTGATTGTTTAAATAGACAACACATAACACCTTCACAAAATCAACTGTGTTACTCAGAAATCAAACTTCATGCTCATTGTCTCTATCAAGCCCCAAGTTTCTACAGAAATGAGTGAGTCCACATGTGAGTAGGTTAGAACCAAAGCAAAATGTAGGGGTACTGAGAAAACATGCATTGATTAAGTATAGGTGAACTTGGGTGTAGGTGAAATGATAGTGTTTAGGTAATGGGTGTTAACCGATGTAACGGAGTCATGTTTACGCTGGAATAACAATGACATGTCCACTGAATATATGGGTGATAAGGTCAACGGTCGCATAGAGTCTGGACAAACATCTTGTTTTGATACACAGACAATAACAACAGGGCTGAACCAGGCGTTACACATCTCATGATGATGATCATGTGATATACTGGAACTCCTGCCAGTGGAGACAAAGTGTTTACCACGAGAACAATAGGAAGAGGCGGAAATACTCGGTCAAGTGGGTCGTGACCGTTGCTCTAGAAATCAGGTATAAATGCACCATGTATTCAATGGCAAGGAGACTTGGTTTCGGCGACTCACCACGAGTCATACAATGCCTCAATTCTAGTTATCTAGACTTGTTTTAAGTCTGATATTGTTCCCACTGTAAATATATGCCTTATGAGGTATTGCTGTATATCCATGCCCATTAAACCTTCATCTTTAAATTCACCTGAATCCTTGTTGCAGTTTGAGCTCATGATCTTCCAGATCGGGTTACTGCTACAAGTGGAGTTAACATAGTGAACATGAACGATGTGACATTAATAATGATCTGTCATGACAGTGTGTTATCATGATAAATGTTAAGCAGATGTGTTCCATCTATATGACATGTAAGTAAAAATGAATGAAGATTTGAACTTTGTTGTTTCTATGATTCACCCAACCCAGGAGGTTAGGGCAGTAGTTTTGGCGGACTGTGTTGTTTCATAAGTGCTAATACGTAAAGGCTTTTGATTTCGTTTGATATCTGAAATAATATACCTGAGTCAAAAAGAAACTTCACAAAATGTAATTTTGAAAAATAATGAATAATTTTTTTCTGAAGATACATCTATGTATCCGAAATTGGATTCCTATCTTTCGACTCTAGAAAAACGTTAGCAAAACCCCCTCAAACCCATCCATTCGTCGTGCAAATTATGTTAGTGCCAAATCAGGTTTTGTACGTGCACTCGATCACGTGATCTTCGCATCGAAGTTTTCTTCATATGCACGTGTTTGCACCACAGTTCTAACGGTACTTGAAATGCCACGATTGTCAAATGTGCAACATGAATGTGCCGTTTGCATGTTGCAAGCGGGAAGATCAGTTATTGACATCGCAAGAGCAATGGGATGCAGCCGTTGTTCTGTGTATGACTTGCGAGGTCGTCTACAACAAACTGGCACCACTTCTGATCGCCCAAGGTAGGGTCGTCCAAGTGTGACGTCACGAGCAGAAGACCGTCCTAGGTCACAGATTTCTGCCGGCTACACGAACCAGGGCTGAGATGTTTAGAGGTCGACTGTCCCTCACAGACCATTCTGAAATCGGTTGCGCTGGCTGCCAATCTCCATTCTCGACGTCCATATCGTGGGCCAATATTGACGCCGTTTCATCAACGTCGGAAAACGTTTGTTGTGGGCCCAACGTCACTCCGATGGACCCAGAGAGACTGGAATCGAGTTGTCTTTTAGCGATGAATCCAGGTTTACCCTCAGATTCGCGGACGGCAGGCATACATTCTTGGAGACGACGTCATGAACAGTATGCCCAAAGTTGTGTACAGGAAGTTGACAGATTCGGGGCGGAAGTTGCATGGTGTGGGGTGCTTTCTGTGGGAACAACTGTTCCCGACTTCTGGTCATCCGTGGAAACCTCACAGCTGCTGCTTACCGCGACCAGGTGCTCACCCCTGAAATCGTTCCTTTCATGGCGGCTCATGGCCCAGGTCTACAGTTCCAGCATGATGATGCTCGGCCACATACCGCGATGGTGACACGGAATTTCCTTCAAAACGCTGGAATCAACGTCATGGACTGGCCATCCAGGTCCCCTGACCTTAATCCAATAGATCCAGCTGTTGGCTCAGCACTTTGACAGGCCCTTGACTGCTAAAGGGTATGTGGAATGGCTTACTGTGAAGAAACAGATTGTGAGGATGCTCAGTTTTGAAGAAAATCTTCACTTTGTGCAGGTATGGGAAAGGGTTTTGACAACTAATGATCTGAAAGGTGAAAACAAGGACATCTTAGCCCTGGTTCGAATAATCCTTTCACTGCCTGTGAACTCGGCAATATGTGAAAGAGGGTTTTCCCTCATGAAGAGAGTGAAATCTGACTGGCGAGGTTCATTGAGGAGTGACACTCTGACAGATCTGCTTTCTGTATCAGTGAATGGTCCAGCCACACATGATTACAACCCAGATGCTGCCATTGCACTATGGCTCACGAAGAAGAACAGGAGGATTGCTGCAGCTGGAAAGAGAACACAGACAGAGCAGGCATGGAGCAGTGATGAATCTGAGTAACGACAAGTGGGTAAACTTCGGAATAAAACATCTAAATGATTCGATAGCATATTTCTTTCATGACATGTTGCAATAAAAGCAGTGCAACTGGAATTTGGCTGGTGCAACTAGGTTTTTATCTTAGGGTGCACCTGGTGCAAGTAGGTTAACATCTCTTAAATTGAGCCCTGCAGTATATAACAAAACTATATTCCAACGAGCCAAACCCTGCATATAACTGTGTCCTCTATCCCCTGTATGAGGATCTGTATAAGTCTTCTTTTGTTCCGCCTCTTGGTAATAGAGTGAAACCTTTCCTTTCTGCTGCTGGCATTGTGCTGTAAAATATAGCTCTTTCCCGCCTTCTTTCTTCTCCTCCTTGGCAATAATAATTGGTGAGGCCACGAGTTGACCTAACACTAACAGCATTTAAAAAATCAAAAACTAATGAATTACAATATAAATGAGAATTTAGTCAATTAAAAAGTAAATACAATACATATAAATCCTTATTCACAGATGGATCCAAGGATGGTGGTGCAGTGGCTTGTGCCACTGTCATTGGGTTCAAAAGACCCAATGACAGTTCAATTTTCACAGCAGAAGCAAACGCAATTCTAACAGCTCTTAAATATATAAATACACGCACTAAATATAAACAATATATCATATTTTCAGATTCTCTTTCTTGCCCTCAGGCTATAAAAATCTTTCGTGTAAACATCCACTTTTAATCGAAATAATTGAGTTATATAATGATCTTGCCACTGGCCAATACGACATAGTCCTTTGTTGGTTACCAAGCCACGTAATCTATACCTTGCTTTAGTCACAATATGGCCAGTGTGACTTAAAATCTTTACTCACTCACTCACCAATCACAAATCTACTGTAATAAGGAGTCATGTGTATATTTTCTCTATTTGTTTCTCATGCATGACTTGAGTGAGTGAGTGAGTTATTATTTAACGTCACATCGGCAATATTTCAGCCATATCGTGACGAGAACATTTGACAGGGTAATAGAATATATATAGTTATTATAAAAACCTGCCGACGAAGGACAGTAAAAATAATAGATAATCACAGATATGAATATAAAACTAGCGAACAAAGCTAAAATATTCCAATTAAAGAAGACAATACAATGTAAAAATGGGCTATAGATCGCAAACAACTGAAGGTAGATCACCATACTCAAGGCCCAAGGGGGCTTACATTACTTTTGCTACCTGCATGGACCCTAGCTGGATTTATAACCTCATCCCTTCAGCCATTGGCGTTTATACTGATATTTAGCCATACATTAAAATGACATTAAAATACTACGATTAAAAAACCTGGTAGACTGAAATTTACTTGAAATGTTTTGGGACTTACGTATCCTCTCAGGAGGACAATAATTTTACGCCACGTCAACCCTTTGAGGGCACAGCCACTAACAATCTAAGTTAACAATCTAAACTACCAATCATTAAAATACATCTACTTTCCTACAGACATTATTAATCAAAATCAGTGATCAAATCAATTTCTTTAAAACCAAGAATTAAATGAACATGAACAGGCGTTAAAAAGATCCCTTAACAGTTTTAACATTGTAATTATTTATCCCTTTATGATGGAGATTTGACACAGTCAAGCAGGAGATGCTTGACTGTGACTTTCATCACAAGGGATACAAAACGGAGGATCTTCACCTTCAACAAGTAGTTGTGAGTATACCTTAGGTATGGCCAATGCGACATCGTCGCATAATGACCTCTTCAAATCTGGACTGACAACCCAAGTGAGTGTAACCAATATAAGGTTTTATTTCATGTAGTTTATTAATACCTACTTGAGTGTCCCATTCTCTTCTGCATCAGATCACGGATGTAAGATCTAATGCAAGCTTTGTAATCAGAGTATGGGAGCAGAAGTGGTGTCACAGATTTGTTGAGAGCTGCCTTAGCAGCAATATCATCGTTATCGTGTTCCCAGAAATGCCAACATGGCTGGGTAACCAACAAAAGACGCCCGATTGGCCAGTAGCAAGCTCATTATACACCTAATAATTTCTAATAAAAGTGGATGTTTGCAAGAAATATTTTTATAGCCTGAAGACACGAAAGAGAATCTGAAAAGATGATATATTTTTTATATTTACGGTGTTTATTAATATATTTAAGAGCTGTTAGTATTGCGTTTGCTTCTGCTGTGAAAAATTGAACTGTCATTGGGTAGTCTGAAGATATTATTTTGGGATCCAATGACAGTGGCACAAGCAAATCAACTACCACCATCCTTGGATCCATCTGTATATAAGGGATTTATATGTATTATATTTATTTCTTAATTGAATTTAAATTCTGTTTATACCTGTAAATCATTAGTTTCAGATTTTTTAAATGTGGTTAATGTTAAGTCAACGTCTGGCCCTCACCAATTGCCAAGGAGGAGAAGAAAGAAGACGAGAAGGAGATATATTCTCCAGCCCAATGCCGGCAGCAGAAAGGAATGGTTGAATTCCCAGCCCAAGAGGCGAAACAAGAGAAGGTTTTTGTTGCATAAATCCTCATAGAGGATTAAAGACGCAGTTAAATGCAGGATTAGACCTGCTGAATACAGTTTTGTTACATATACCTGTAAAGATAGTTTGATTACCACGTTGCAAGGATGGCTCACTCATCAGCCTCAACACATAGAGACTATCAATAGGAGAGATTCTAAAAGACCCAAGACAAAGTCTAAGGCCTTTGATGGTGGACAGAATCAAGTAGTTTAAGGTTGTTTTGTAATTCCACCATAAAACGATGGAAGCATAATCAAGTTTTGAACGCACTAAAGCGATCGATATAGATGTAGGAGGGTAGCTTTGATCCTCCCCTTCACTTAGAATTGGAAACGACTTCAACAAGTCAAGTGCCTTCAGGCATTTAGTTTTAAGTGCTTTAATATGTGGTAGAAACGTTAAGTGTGAGTCAAAAAATAACACCCAAGAACTTGGCCTCTTTCATAACTTTGATGGTGTGCCATTTAGAAATAGTTCCGGTCCTTATGCGGTTTGTATTTACGGCAGAAATGTATACAATTAGTTTCGGATTTAGAAAATTTAAAGCCATTTTCGAGACACCATTTATCTATCTTGTTTAAACACAACTGCAGTTGCCGTTCAATAGTATGCATATTTTTACCGCTTGACAAGAAATATTAAATCATCCACAATGATCCATCTATTGAATCATTTAAAACTTGATAAACTGTTTATCTTAATGTTAAACAGTGTGACAGACAAAATACTGCCTTGAGGGACACCCCTCAATCCTGATTATAATGGTCAAACAGGGTTGAGCCCACTGGACTGAAATTGTCTATCATTTAAAAACTTGATATAAATTGAGGCAAACGGCCCCGTATCCAAAATCATGTAAATCTCTCTCAAAATACCATATTTCCACGTAGTATCGTATGCTTTTTCTAGATCGAAAAGATCGACACTGCATGTTGTTTATTAATTATGGCATTTTAACAAAGATTCCAAACGCACTAAATGATCAACAATTGTACTTCTGTTTTTACGGAAACCACATTGTATATCAGTTAATAGGTTATTGGTTTCCGGCAGCACCAAACTAATCGATTATTGATCATGCGTATGCCAGTGTGACTTAAAATCTTTACTCACTCACTCACCAATCTGGAAATCTACTGTAATAAGGAGTCATGTGTATATTTTCTCTATTTGTTTCTCATGCATGACTTGAGTGAGTGAGTGAGTTATTATTTAACGTCACATCGGCAATATTTCAGCCATATCGTGACGAGAACATTTGACAGGGTAATAGAATATATATAGTTATTATAAAAACCTGCCGACGAAGGACAGTAAAAATAATAGATAATCACAGATATGAATATAAAACTAGCGAACAAAGCTAAAATATTCCAATTAAAGAAGACAATACAATGTAAAAATGGGCTATAGATCGCAAACAACTGAAGGTAGATCACCATACTAAGGCCCAAGGGGGCTTACATTACTTTTGCTACCTGCATGGACCCTAGCTGGATTTACACCATCCCTTCAGCCATTGGCGTTTATACTGAGATTTAGCCATACATTAAAATGACAAAAAATACTACGATTAAAAACCTGGTAGACTGAAATTTACTTGAAATGTTTTTGGGACTTACGTACCCTCTCAGGAGGACAATAATTTTACGCTACGTCAACCCCTTTGAGGGCACAGCCACTAACAATCTAAGTTAACAATCTAAACTACCAATCATTAAAAATACATCTACTTACAGAGCATATTAATCAAAATCAGTGATCAAATCAATTTCTTTTAAAAACCAAGAATTAAATGAACATGAACAGTGTTAAAAGATCCTTAACAGTTTTAACATTAAAATATTTATCCCTTATGATGGAGAATTCGACACAGTCAAGCAGGAGATGCTTGACTGTGACTTTCATCACAAAGGGATACAAAACTGGAGGATCTTCACCTTTCAACAAGTAGTTGTGAGTATACCTTGTATGGCCAATGCGACATCGTCATAATGACCTCTTCAAATCTGGACTGACAACCCAAGTGAGTGTAACCAATATAAGGTTTTATTTCATGTAGTTTTTATTAATACCTACTTGAGTGTCCACTTCTTCTGCATCAGATCACGGATGTAAGATCTAATGCAAGCTTTGTAATCAGAGTATGGGAGCAGAAGTGGTGTCACAGATTTGTTGAGTGCTGCCTTAGCAGCAATATCAGCCATCGTGTTCCCAGAAATGCCAACATGGCTGGGTAACCAACAAAAGACGATGTCGCATTGGCCAGTAGCAAGCTCATTATACAATTCAATAATTTCTAATAAAAGTGGATGTTTGCAAGAAATATTTTTATAGCCTGAAGACACGAAGAGAATCTGAGAAAAGATGATATATTGTTTATATTTACGGTGTTTATTAATATATTTAAGAGCTGTTAGTATTGCGTTTGCTTCTGCTGTGAAAATTGAACTGTCATTGGGTAGTCTGGAAGATATTGTTTTGGACCCAATGACAGTGGCACAAGCAACCGCGCCACCATCCTTGGATCCATCTGTATATAAGGATTTATATGTATTATATTTATTTCTTAATTGACTAAATTCCTGTTTATACTGTAAATCATTAGTTTCTGATTTTTTAAATGTGGTTAATGTTAAGTCAACGTCTGGCCTCACCAATTGCCAAGGAGGAGAAGAAAGAAGACGAGAAGGAGATATATTCTCCAGCTCAATGCCGGCAGCAGAAAGGAATGGTTAATTCTGTGCCCAAGAGGCGGAACAAAGAGAAGGTTTTTTTGTTGTATAAATCCTCATAGAGGGATTAAAGACACAGTTAAATGCAGGATTAGACTCGTTAGAATAGAGTTTTGTTATATACTGTAAAGATAGTTTGATACGACGTTGGGTAAGGGATGGCTCATCAGCCTCAACATAGAGACTATCAATAGGAGAGGTTCTAAAAGACCCAAGACAAAGTCTAAGGCCTTGATGGTGGACAGAATCAAGTAGTTTAAGGTTGCTTTTGCAGGCTCCACCATAAACGATGGAAGCATAATCAAGTTTGGAACGTACCAGTGATCGATATAGATGTAGGAGGGGTAGCTTGATCCCCCCCACTTAAGTGGAAACGACTTTCAACAAGTCAAGTGCCTTCAGGCATTTAGTTTTAAGTGCTTTAATATGTGGTAGAAACGTTAAGTGTGAGTCAAAATAATACCCAAGAACTTGGCCTCTTTCATAACTTTGATGGGTGTGCCATTTAGAAATAGTTCCGGGTCCTTATGCGGTTTGTATTTACGGCAGAAATGTATACAATTAGTTTTGGATTTAGAAAATTTAAAGCCATTTTCGAGACACCATTTATCTATCTTGTTTAAACACAACTGCAGTTGCCGTTCAATAGTATGCATATTTTTACCGCGACAAGAAATATTAAATCATCCACAATGATCCATCTATTGAATCATTTAAAACCTTGGATAAACTGTTTATCTTAATGCTAAACAGTGTGACAGACAAAATACTGCCTTGAGGGACACCCTGATCCTGATTATAATGGTCAGACAGGGTTGAGCCCCTCGGACTTGAAATTGTCTATCATTTAAAAAGTTGGATATAAATTGAGGCAAACGGCCCGTAATCCAAAATCATGTAAATCTCTCAAAATACCATATTTCCACGTAGTATCGTATGCTTTTCTAGATCGAAAAAGATCGACACTGCATGTTGTTTATTAATTATGGCATTTTAACAAAAGATTCCAAACACTAAATGATCAATTGTACTTCTGTTTTTACGGAAACCACATTGTATATCAGTTAATAGGTTATTGGTTTCCAAGTACCAAACTAATCGATTATTGATCATGCGTTCCATGGTTTTGCAAACGCAGCTAGTGAGTGAAATTGGTCGATCATTTGACGGATCAGTATGATCACGTCCAGGTTTTGGAATTGGAACTATTATTGCATCACGCCATGAAGGAAATTCACCGGACGTCAAATACTATCAAAGATATGTAGAAGTGTCTCTAAACAGGATTCCGGTAAGTGCTTCAGAAGTTGATAATGTATGTTATCAGCTCCTGCAGCAGTATCGTGAACTTAGTCCAAGAGCTTTATAAAGCTCATGAATAGAGAATAATTCATTATAGTCTTCCCCATTATCCGTGTTGAAATTAATAGGTTTCGTTTCTTGTTGCTGTTGATATTTTTGAAATTTAGGTACATAGTTGGAGGAAGAAGAGGGCTTAATAAAGTTTCACCTAGTTTATTTGCAATATCTGAAGTATCTGTTAATAATTCATTTCCAATTGTAAGGTGGTGAATGCCAGTTTTAGAGCCTTTACCTTTGATTTTTTGTACCATATTCCATACCTTGGACATGGGTGTACGTGAATTGATGTTTGAGACATAATTTTGCCAAGATCGACGTTTACTTTGTTTAAAAGTACGCCTAGCTTTGGCATTTAAGATCTTAAATTTATTGAGATTATGGACCATAGGATGGCGACGGAAATAGTGTTCAGCTTTTTTCCGTGCCTTCCTTGCTTGTTTGCAGTTGTCATCAAACCATGGTTTTCGTATGTGAGCAACAGCAGAGGACTTAGGACTTCCTACTGATACACAAGTCCCATCTAAACAGTAGCTTCGTCTGAAGTTGTGACCCAAAACCCCAACGAACAAAAGGCTTCTTTGCAATACACAGGAACCTTGGATTTTAAGTTCATGGTTCAACAGAGACAACTCCTTAAACCACATGTTGGTGTTTATTATGCTGTAGCATACTTCAAATACCTGAAAGAATATGCTGAGGGGTTTAGGGATCGTGTCACACTGTTCTGTGTAGACGACAAGCACAAAGTGAAAGATGAAGAGTCAGGATGTCCTGTTGCTGCTGTAGATAGAGGACGGCAGTGATGGTTGGATTAAATGAACATTTCAAGTGGCAGATCATGACTTTACCAAGTTGTCAGAGGACTTAGGAATACATTCATCAGCAATGATATTGAGTTCATCAGAAAAACATTTTACGGGATCAAGAGTGCCCATGAAAAGTTCAGGTTTCAATTTGCTAATGCAAAGCGTTTCAAACAAACAATGTACTTGTCTTAGAAAGAGAACTGTACATGAACCGCAAAATTGTGATAAGAGAATGACAATTACTTTCAGAAATGTCACAGGCTTAAAACAAAACAGAGTTATCTCACTTATACAATTATACACACACTATACCATTGAAGAGTTATCTCCCTTACATCAGTGTGCCAAGCAATGCACCAAAGTTCAAATCCTGGTACTTTTAAAATAATACATACAATGTGAAATTAATGATTGAGTCGGGCAAGGATTTACATGGATTCCTGTATTTGAGGGTCCCTGGGACTCAAACTCTTAATTTTCAGGGGTCATGGACAACAAAATGGGGGTCCCAGACACTTAAATATTACCATTGCTACTGTTATTGTATTGTGTATCATGATCATCAAATAGTTACAGTAATTAAATTGCAAATAATACCATAACCTAGCCATTTTTAGCAAACTCCGTGATAACGTATTGTAAAGTATTTAGACTTTTCCTGAGTCCCTGTGGACGCGCAAATATATTTTGTAGCGTCCATTGTCATACTTTATGCGTATAGGACGCAGGAATTCGCGTCCTGTAACTCCCAATGACATGGAAAATTCATTTCTCAATACAACTTGCCTACTCATCCTGGTGGTGCCATACTCCTCCTCTGGATTTCTTCATGAAAAAATCTTAAGTTTTAAATTATGAAATTGCTTAGCTAAGATTTTAGATAAGACTGGATCATGAAACTGTCGGAGCAAACTCTTAGCTAAGACTAAAACAGCTGCCATGGCAATTTTAGAATCATCTAATCATGTTCGGTCACACTTTATTAATTGAGCAGAAGTTTACTAGAAAGCACCTACTCAGACATTCCAAGCAAGTCAATTGAAGCTTTTATCCCTGTCGCGGGAATTTTAGTGGTTTTACGGTATGGGAGGAACTCAACAGAAGTTACGTATTAGCAGTTTGTTTGTCAACTCAAACAGGTGCTGGAATATCGTCTGACTGAGTCACTCAGCTGTCAGTATGACGGAGAAAAGCTCAGACACCGAAGAGAAGATCCAACTGCACCCCTCAATAGGAGACGATACTCATCGAAGAGGTGACCAAGAGGGAGAGTCTCCTCTTCGGAAAGCTGGACGGGGTCAGTCGGACAAGAACAACATCACAACAAGAAAAAAATCAGTGCATGGGAAGACGTTGCAGCGATTGTGAACTCGTAAGTTGAGATTAATTTGCTTGGATAAATATATACATTCTATCACAAATTAATAGCTAAAATACATGGAATTATCATGAAACGGCCCTCCTGTTATCAGAAATTTGCTGGCCGCCGAAAATGATATTGGACTCAACCTTAACGACGGGCCACTATCAGTTCTGTTGTCAAGTGACGTCATAGTTCGACATTCGAGTGGCTTTCGACTGGCAGATATTCTGGGTCAAACAAGTCAAAGCTAACCCAAATTCCCGTTGTGTTTGACATGGTTTAATTGTTCGACGACGTCATCGCGGTCAATTACTTCATTGTTTCCTTTTCTTTTCAACACAAATTGTGGGCTTTCTTGTCTGGCAGTTAATGGTCCTAACCTCAACAACTGAAAAAACAAAATGTTTCTACTGATGAATTTTAAATGCACTATACTATAAAAGTTTTTGTTTTTTCTTTGACTGTTGATGGACTGGAATATTTTAAGATCCGTTTACTAAATTCATTTCCAAAGACGTATATACACAGGATTGGAAGCCTCCACTGACAGTCTCGCTCTGATGTGGGTCGCGCTCATTTGCCGCAACAGGGGTGTCTGCGCGCTGTGCATCGTGGGTAATTCGCTAACGCTGGACACCGGAAAGGATAGCATCATATGTGGGATTATGTCAGATAAATGCGGCATTTAGATAGCATTTCATGAATCAAAGGTAAGAATTATCATTACTTAGAACATAAACGAAAGCCACCGGCATCTGTTTTCAAAGGATTAACTATTATTTTTGGCAAAGAATCCTTTTGAACTGCTGGCCAGTCGTCACTTGTGGCGCTGACTTCGAAACCAATATGGTTGACACGCTCAGTTTGCAAAATTGTACATTATGTCCTATTTGTGCGTCAATTTACGTTGCAGGGGGTGCAGGAAGTCCTTAGTTACTTTGGTCAGATAATGGAACCATTTATTCTCTATGTACTTACGATGTTGTAAATGGTTAAATATATTTTTTATTTATAGATTTTCACTCGCGATTGTCATGATATTTGTGTCAAATAGAAATATTCAGTGGCATCGTCCATATCCATTGTGATTTTTTTGTCACAATTTCCAAATCATGCACTGAACCATATTTTCCAGACAAAATGAATTTTAAAATTTCAATTTATGTTTGTTGTATTCATGAAGAATTTTATTAGTTTCACGTCAATTTCGCCCTCAAAACATGCAATTAAAAATGTTAAATTTTATCTGATCACTATTCACCTATGTACATGATGTATCACCATCAGTAGTCCTGATATTTTCGTTTTTTTTTATCGGAAATATTTGATTGTCTTATTTTGATAAAATGATAGAATACATGTCTATTTAACCCAAAGTAATGAAGATTTTTAGAAAACATATATTACAAATATGTATATTGCAATATTTGTTTTGGTCTGTCATGGTCTATAGCATACTACTTGTCGAGTTGGTAGGAATCTTTATTTCCACATGTTTTCAAGATAATGCATGTCATATATGATAAAAATGTATATTGATATGGTCTATTTATATTAAATGCATTGAACCACAATGAATTTTCTGAATGATATAATTTCAAAGTCTCTGTATCAATAATTTATCTTACTTTTTGGTGTATATTGCCATATACTCTGTGCTATGTATTGAGCTCATAAGAGCTCATGCAGGTGTTTGTAAGTAATATATTTTTGTGTTTATCATTGTTCATTATGTCTGTTGTATCTTAGATGCCTCAAACTCCTCGGCCTGTGTCCAAGAGAAAGGCAATAGGCCGTAGAAAGAAAAGGCGGCACAGTTATGAACATTATGATGAAGAGAAGCAAGTTGAACATGTTGCTGCAGACCACTCCTACTCATTTCCTATGTGAGTAGCCACAAACATTTGAGATTTGTTATATTTTCTTGTTCTTTTAAAATATTTCTTGAATACACAGTACTGTTTTATACAAAAAATACTTATAAATATTTCCACACTTTTACACCAGACTTTAGACAAACTTTAATATGCCAACTATATGGGCAAATGAATACCACCATTCAATCTCCACTCAAACAACTCCACCCCCCTTTCTGACATCTCTCCCACCCTCGCCTCTCCATATGTTTACCATGTGTCAATATGAGACAGCTACTTGCTAGATCACAATGACATGTAACAAACAGTTCTGTCATGGTGTTGTAAAGTCATCTCCATCCATATTATATGTGTGTTATTATTTTTAAAGCTGATGTTGGTTTTCTCCCTGAAGTGTTTCAATGAGTGATAATATATCCATTTCTATTCATTGACATATATTCTTAATTACATAATATTTGTAAAACAAATATTATTTGTATGTGATGTCATTGTAATTTATTGCACTTTTCAGAAAAGACTGCAGTGAGAGTGCCGGATGGGAAACTGCATGGGATAATTTCTATCTAAAAGACAGCAATCCATCACCTTCCACACCCCTTTACAGTGAAGTGACAGATTCTGACAACTGTTCTGCCAATGCGTTTTATGTTGTTCTCCACAAAGTATTCCAGTATAATGCTGAAGATGAACTGGATGTGGTTGTTTGCAGACTGTTGACTGAGAGGACATATGCAAGATATCTTTCCCTTATGGATGAAGTTAAGCAAGACCTATCAGCCTTTGGACACTTACTGTTTTCTGGTGCCAATAAACATGGTTTGAGATTTGTTCAACCATATGATCATGAACCTAGCCAGGCCATGAGACTGAATTTGATCATCAATCAGTCATTGAAACCAACTTTATTTGTCCATGGCAAGGAAGTAAATACTAATCATGATTTTTGGACTGGTCTTCCACATATATATCATTCTGTGAAAGACATCCAGAAGTTACAGTCCAAACTGGAGCGATGGGACATTTGCATGGGAAACTTTGAGGCTCAGTATGTATCCATGGTGCCCTCAGGTGTTGGAATTTACAAGAGTTCAGGTTGTGTCTCTGCTGTTGCCTACCGGGAAGATATCCATGCTATCAGAGGTGACATTCCATACGAGTCAACAATACGTTCAACTAATTGCTGTCTACTGGTTCAATCAAAGAGGAGGTGCAAACACTGTGATCTGTACAGAAATACTCTGCGGAAGAAGGATTCACGTCAAAAAGGCCCACACTGTGTCAACATTTTCTCTGAAGAAAACACCCCACAGTACTATGAACAGAATTCATCTGGTTAAAAAAATTAATATGCTAAAACATGAGAAGAGATCAATTCAAGCAGAACTTGACCGACTTAAAAGACGGGTGCTTGATGTCATCAAAACAAAAGGACATGTGTTGAGCTACAGTGAAAACGAAGAACTCTTACAACTTGTGGAACAATACACAAGTGATGTCTTGAGAAGTTATCCAGACGAAACTTCCACTCAAAGGCTCTTCTGGGACCAGCAGCTAAAGTATGCAAAACTCAAAAAAACAAATCCGCAATGAGGTGGCACCCTATGATGGTAAAGTGGTGTTTGTATTTACGTAGCAAAAGTCAGAAAGCTTACAATGTGGCCAGAGATTCTGGATTTATTGCTCTTCCAAGTACCCGTACCTTATTTGACTATTCACATGTCTTGCCGAGTACATGTGGCTTTCATGAAAGATTTACTGAACATCTGATTGAACAGGCTGAAAAATGTGGAATGTACAAGGAAGAATGGAAATCCTATGTTGGGATCCTCCAAGATGAAATTAAAGTATCAGAAGGACTGGTTTATGACAAGAAAAGCGGCGAGTTAGTCGGATATGTAGAGCTGGACAAAACCGGGAATGACATCAGTAATATGGAAAATCTGCTTATTGACAGTGATCCCAAACTTGCAAAATCCATTCTGGTTGTTATGGTGAGAGGCATCACTACATCTTTGAAGTATCCATTTTTCTGTCTGGCTACTGATGGAATAACTTCAGCGACTTTATACCCTCCAATATGGGAAACTGTGAGAATACTAACGATTGAATGCGGGTTGAAGCCATTGTTTATTACATGTGATGGGGCAACACCTAACAGGAAATTCTTCAAACTACATCGTGATGAAAATTTGCAGAATACTTTTTGGACTTTAAACCCATATTCGTTTCCCACCAGGAAACTGTATTTCATATCTGATGTCCCACACTTATTGAAAACAACAAGAAACTGTTTCTCAAATTCTGGAGCACATAATTTGGCACGAAATCTTTGGAAAAGTGGGAAATGCATTTCATGGACTCATATTATTCGTTTGTATGAAGATCATGTTGAAACACCATTATTTACCCTATGTCCCAAATTAACCAGACATCATGTACATTTATCATCATTTGCAAAGATGAAAGTAAACCTAGCTGCACAAGTACTCAGCAAAACAGTTGCAGATGCTTTGGAAGAACTTTATGGGGACCATGTGACAGAAACTGTGAAATTTATTCGCCATATGAATCGTTTCTTCGACTGTCTTAACACTAGACATTTAGAGGAGGCAAAACGCAAGAGGAACCCAGACCTAGAACCATATAGGACACAAGATGACTCGAGATTTCACTATCTGACTGATGAGTTTCTACAATATTTCAATGACTGGGAAGTGGCAGTAATGAACAGGGCAGGACAATATACTCTACGTCAGCGAACAAATATGAAGCTGAGTCAACAGACATTGAATGGTCTCCATATCAGTGTGAACTCCATTGTAGAATGCACTAAGTTTCTTTTGCATGAAGGAGCAAGTTTTGTTTTGACCCACAGATTTAATCAAGATCCCCTTGAAGAACATTTCGCTCATTATAGACATAAAGGTGGATCGAACGACAATCCAACAGTTTTTTGATGTCCGGAACACTCTTTCTGAACTCAGAGTAATTGGATCTCAAGCACTTGCTCCTATTCGGGGGAAACGTTTCCAAGAAAAGACAACAGGGATCACTTGCTGTGGACAATACGCCACTAGCAAAGAGGATGAGATAATCAAGTGACATCCTATTTCATGATCATGAATGAAAACTTTGAAAGGCTCAGCTTCAAGGCGAGACAGTATGTTTTAAGTGTGACAGATACATAATTCTACTATTCCCCTACATATCTCCAGAGAATTCACCAATCTGTGAAGGCTGTGACAATGATGGTATCTCAACACTGGACTATTACAGTAACAGAGTGAAATCAGACTATCCAGAGGAACATGTCTTCCTACGTGGTGATCTGAATGCCAGTATGAAGGACTTTCTAAAGTACATTTCTGATGACATTGTTGAATATGTGTAGTGTGCAGAGTACTACCCCACTGTGTTTGACAGTCCTAGGAACATGAACGGCATAATAACTATGGCAATGAATTTGCTGAACTGTGGCGTACATTCAGAGTACATAGGGTATGGCAGAGTACTTAATGACCAGTGAATTCACTTTACATGTGTCACACATAATGGTGCAACATGTTGGCATCCTCATCAATTTCCATGTATTAGGATACTTTGGTATTTGTACATTTGATTTTTCATGTAACTTTCCATAAACATGATTATATTTTCACTAGAGATTTCTTGTAAACAATGTAGATAGCCATATGCCAGGTAACCATGGTAACAGCTGTAATGACCATAAGGATATGAAATGAAATATTTTGTAAATTTGTGTGGTTAAATGATTATGGAAATACCTTGTACAGGCAGATGTATTGCAGGTATTCTAGCATTGATGAGTCTGTATCTTTATTTGTAAAGTTGCTACATGATGCGGCAACTCATACTGTGGGTGTACATCCACCATGGTTTACAGATAATTGCAGCCAAAATTATAGGTCTTGCAGCTCACAGAGATCATTATCAATGTCTGTATATATAGAGAGAGTTTTGAGGAATATTTAATAATAATAATAATAATGTGTCATAGCGCTAACAATCAAGGCCATTATTACCCCGGATAACCCAAGCTGCCTGTTAGGCACTAGAAGGTTATAGTCATATGACTTTTTTCCACCGGGTACCCATTTTCCTGCTGGGTGAACAGAGGCAATTTTGAACAAACTCACTTTCCTAAGGTGAGACCACATGTATGACATGTGCTTCGTTGTGGGGCAGGACTAGTCCTAGAAACTCTCAGGAGTCAAGCTGCCAAACACGGTCACCCATCCAAGATCTCTCCGAGCTCGACGCTGCTTAACTTCACCGATTTGTGACCTGAGCTTTAAGCACAGGACAACGCGCCACCAGTGAAATTGTAAAAACAATCCCAAAAATTATAGAGGCATTTTACTTATAGATTCCAGCTATGAATAATATTTATTCACTCATTTTAGCTGATGATGCCTCAGCCATATCTCATACTTGTGTTCAGCTACAAAGAAAGTTTACAGTGCTTGAATTTTTTTGTGAAACAAATGGTATGAATGTGAATTTAATGAAAACTAAAGTTGTTGTTTATAGAATTTACTTCTTTGAAGTCTTGTGAAAAATGGTTTAATGATTGGAACTCTATTAATTTGGTATCTTTATATGAATACTTTTGTCTTGTGTTTACCCCAAAGGTAATATGGAGCAAAGCTCAAACATGTTTAGTATCCCAGGCCAATAAGGCATTATTTTCTGTCAATAATTTTCAAAGGAAATTAGTTAATTTCAATTGTGTAGAAAAATGGTTAAGATATTTGATTGTATGACCTGTACCATGCTATGGATAAAAATGAGACTCTTCTGACTTAAATACCATTGAATCTGTCCACATTTAATTTTGTACAAATGCATTTAATGTTGGAAAATGTACTTGTAAAAATATTGTTTTAAATTTAGGTGAATCTGGAAGACTACCTTTGCAAGACTACTTTTGAGAAGATAAAAAAAATGTTCTATTTCAATATGGATTTGGCTTTGTTTGGATATAAATGTACTATGCTATCCAAAAAGCTACAGTTAATGATTTTTTAAGCAAAAATTGTTTGATAACTTATTTCAGTCCCAGTATTCTCTACAGTCAAAACATAAAATATTTTATTGCAGTGATTTTAATTCTATTTTAAATGTTGTACATTTAGATTAGAAAACTGGTAGATGTGAAAATGTCATTTTTGAAGAGAGGTATTGCAAATCATGTGAATACTAGGGTATGTTTCTATTGGATGATGAATGTATTTTATATTTGTAAAACATATTCGGTGTACATGAAGAAATATTGTAGTATTGATCACATCATTATTAATTTTGCTGGAATAGTAAACAGTGATGTAATAAGAGATGTATGGCAATTTTTTTACCATGTAAATAAGACAAGAAAAACGTAAATGCACATTGTATACATAATTGTGATGAAGTTTATATTTTGGGCTGGAGCTCTGTTACTGAAATAAACCATGAGTCAGTCTTTCTGTCTGTCTGTCTGTCTGTCATACTGATGATCGGAAACAGTGAACTGAGATACTTGCCATTGCCACATATAATGTGCACTGACCTTGCAAGGTTGAGTAGGAACAAATGGATTTACATCTCTGACATTTATTTTTTTTAATGATAAAATCAGGGGACACAATTCACCTAATAATACCAAATCCCAGATTATATTATAAAATATCATATTTATCAGGTTAATCATTGTAAGGTCTCAATCGTTTTCTCAGAGACTGGGATTTTTTTTCCTTTGAAAACTGATTTGGCGTTTTCCTTCTGCGTTTGTCTTTGCACACGTTTTGCAGTGGCCCTTCCACGGAGTCTTAGGAATAGATCTACAATGTTCTCTAAGATTGATGTTTTTAATTTATCCTCAGAGTCAGTTAGCTTGTCCCAGTAGTAAGAAACTGTGATATCTTGCAAGATTGTCTCTTTCAGTGCTGTCTTTGAATCATTGTTGTGATAATATAAATTAGATGCCTGCCTGCATATTGCCTCTATCTTTCGGACAAGAAAGAAAAAGTTATCACCACAGACTTTCAGTCCACCACGGTTCACCTTCAGAGTCCACTTTTTTTATCTTCGTAACAAAATCAGGAGACTTCTCAGTGGATGAGGCACAAAGGTTTTTCATAATTAATGCAGAGGCTGTATTTCCTTTCTTTTTTGATTTTTTTTCCATAGCATAAATCAAGTATCCCGATATGTAGAAGAGCACAGAGTTGTCTTGGTGTGTAAATGATTCTGCAGACTTCTCTGTGTCCATCTGCAGACTTATAGTAAAATTGTTAACAGCGCATCTGAGGAGGTCGTCCAGCAGACACTGACTAAACAGGTGGACATGCATTTCTGTCTCTCTGGAAGCTCTCATGATCACGGATCTTAAGCTGGCGCAAAATTCAAAGTTTGTCCTCATTGCATGGAATTTCCTAAACATTAATTCCTTGTCTGATGAGAAAGAGCTTGTCTTTCCAAAAAACGGCCAATGTGTCCAGTAATGGTGGCTTGATTAATGTTTCGAGATGTTGCATTGTGACAGGTGAAGAAATCACTGCTTTGCCAATCTCAACCATGATACCTCCAGATTTTGATGTGATCGAATTGTGGTTTGGGTTGTTGCACACTTCGGAGACAGCAGACTCAAGCAGTTGTGCAAATGAGTTGTCAGTAAAGGTTGTTATGCTGCTTGATGTGTTGGTGATACCCTTGTCACAGACAGGTACAGCAGTAATATCACCAGCTTTCTGTGTGTCTGACACCTTGTGCTGACTGACTGGATTAAAATAATTGTATATTAATATTGCTTTTCTCCATCTGCTTATTGAAAACATATGTACAGATAACAGTAGGATACTTGTGATTATTACTATTATTATTATTATTATTATTATGTTTACAGATTAACATCAAATGCAGCAGAGTGGGTCCGGTGCCTTATTATTATTATTTTTATTAAGCATTACCTCTAAACACTTTCAATTAACCATGATAAGGGCTCAAAACAAAAGAATATATTCCTTGAATATGCTGTGGTCTTAATTATTTGCATCAACAAGACTGCATTTATGTCTGACCATCACATATATGGAAATATTCACTATATTAGTACTCTCACCTATTACATCGTATCGTTTGTGTTTGTTGACGACGTGACCCCTGAACCCTGACACGGACAAATACTGTTTGGGGCACAGAGGACACTGGTAGCATGTCTTCTTTACGGAAGGTGTGTCAGTGTGTTTTGTCTTGGTTTTGGGCTTTGGTCGTTCGGTAGAGTTATCTTCGTCCTCAGACCATGAATCCGAACTGAAGTCTAATTCGTACTCTGTCCATTCACCCAACATTGCCGATAAATCGACATCGGATTCGTCCCAATACAGATAATCTGACATCGTGTTTGTTTGTATTTGGGTAGATATATAGCGATCGCAGTTGGTATATCACATAGATGAGTAAATCATCACTGCAAGTATAGAACATGTGACATGCACATACACATGACGTATCGCGTCGAGAAAATTTCTGACAGCTGCGTTATCCGGATGTTTTGGTAACTACGGAAAGCAATGCGCAAGCGCAAGATGGTCAAAGGTTAACCAATCGCGAGTCGCGGCCGGGGAACGTTATCACTCGCTATCAATGAACACGGTCAGCTTACGCGGCGCACATCGCCTAAGGCTTCCAATCCTGTGTATATACGTCTTTGGTTCCTCAGCCTGCATCCATGCTTAAAGGAGAATACTAGACAATTGTAATAATTTGCTGGGTGAAAGATAAATTCATCAGAAACATGTAGAGCGGTGTTGGGTATTACCGAACAAAATTCCATTTCCGCATTGTTTTCTCAAGTTGCCGATCGTGAGAGCAAATTTGATGCGCATGCCTTGAAAGAGAAACTTCCTCTTCCGGAAGAACGATCGTCTGCTCCTTAAATATACTTCAAAGGACTTAGAGAAGAAAATTGACGAAAAGACAAGAAACAGGATTTTACATCCTTAAACGTGGTGCGTATATCGGCGATGAGAGGGTTAAGCCAACAAGTCTTAGTCAAAACTGGGATACCCCATTCTGAATATAGCACCATGTCTATTTTAGTACATTACGCAGTTCAAAACCATAACGTTAGGCTTTGTTAGCCATATATAGACTGTACCGTCCGATCAACACTAACCCTTCACTGTGTAGCCCTGTCGTCCTTTACCGAACAAGCGTCATTGGCCTCAGCAATTTTTGCTATGAGAATGACCATTTGTGTCGCTTATTTGTGGATAATAAAACAAACAGTACTAATTCATCCATATGGTATATGAACCGTCAAAACAAACACAAAACAAGATAATTATGCCTGTCTCCATTCACTATTTATAGGTGTTAGAATTTACCTTGTCCTGTGTACTTCACGCATATGTTGCTTTCAAAGCAATATATCGACAACTAAACAATACATTCACATCCTGATGTACACACGGGTAGTGCCTACATGTTCGATCGTGCTATAAATAAATAATCGCTAACTTTGGAAACGTGTCGTGTTCTCCTGAAAATAACGATGATTGTTTCATCAACTGATCAAGGAATGTGTGTTATTGTCCAAGCAATCGCGTTCTCCCAAGCCATATATTAATAACTGAGACTATAACTCCAAACATTAGTCCGGGGAACAACTTACTTTTACATCAGGAACGTGTTTGTTGAGGCATGTCGATAAATGATTGAAATATTCGACCGTGACCTTACAGGAATGTCAAGGGCGGTTAATTTCCCGACTTCGTTGAGAGTGGTTTCCCTTAGACTGTGCTCCACTACTGACTGACGGGCACCTTGCACGTTATTTGCTTTTATTTATATCGGTTCCAGGCATTATCGACCGATACTTAAAGTAAAAGCTAACATCAAATGGTATTTAAGACTTTCAAATGACTTAAACTTCAGCAGTGTTTAATTATATTCACCCTTGTCTATTTTGAAATACGTAATTCCATTACTTTTCGTGGCCAGTTAATTCTTCCACAAAATACGTCAACATATCATAAAAAAAACATACACATTACTCATGTATTTAAAGTAAGGCTTCCAGTATTTTTTTCGGCATTCACATCTTCCGTATGCCTCATTTTTGTATTCGTGAAATAATAGAAAGTTCACCGAAGCAGTGGGAATTAATGCCCTGATGTGATCGAGTCTCTTTGCACACAAAACAGTTAAGTTTTCTCAATAATATACATTCACTGAAATAATGTTTCAATGAGAAAGCGACCAGACATATATCAAATCAATAAGAATTAAGATTATTAAATAGAGATAAGTGATTTATATTTGAAAATTTCACATGAAACACGTAAAACATCCCCGATGATCTGATATAGATACACACCGGAACACATTTGTAATGCGAATGTACAGACACTGTTCAAGAACACCTGTTTTATTCCTGGCAGTTATATGATTTACAAGTGAAAATAAGAACTGCCTTTTGAACAAAACATCAATCAAGTGATACTGTTAATATTTAATACAACACTCTTTTTCATCAGTAATGACAGTAATTACTTTTCATAAAGTAAGAACACACTTTAAATGCTATGAATGATCAATATTTCATATGTAGATTAAATACAAGTTTATAATTGGTATGCCGTGACATGTATGTCTATTTACTGTCCTGCAATCTGCCTGTCCATCGTTCTAGATTTATGTCAAAATTGCAGACGATGAACCGTCAAGCCCAGTAAAGAAAAAGTATCTCCAATCAACTTTTGATCATGCAGTTTCTCTCGTCAGACAAGGGTTGTTGTCTCTTTCAAAGGCATCAAGAACGTACAGCATTCCTAAAACCACCATGTTTGATACATTGCACAATAAATACGATGGAACAAAATGTGGTCACAAAACCATTTTATCGGAAACAGAGGAAAACCGCCTGGCCGACTGGGTGCTGGACATGTCAAGAATCGGGTACGGTTGCACCAGGGAAGAACTTTTGACAACTGTGAAAAACATTCTGGATGTGGATAATTGTGTCAATCCGTTTAAATACAATAAACCAGGAAAGGATTGGTTTTATGGCTTCTTAAAGCGATATCCCAGCATTTCAATCAGGACACCACTTCAATTGGGGAAGGAGCGAGCTATCGTAACACCAGAGAAAATTGTCGGCTGGCATCAAAATTTCCTTGATTATGTAAACAATCATGTACAAGACCCCACTGTCATACTTGACCCGTCTCGAATATATTACGCAGATGAATCGGGGTTTCCTCTCTGCCCGAGGAGTGGGAAAGTATTATCTGCGAGGGGTGCACCTATTGTCTATCAGTTTGTCTATCAAGTGACAAGACCCAAATCACTGTCATGGCTTATATGAGTGCCAGTGGGCATTATATTCCCCCTATGTTGGTATTCCCAGGCAAGCGGTTTGCTTACAATGTCTTGGAGGGTTTTGAGGGAGCTGCGATGGCACGATCGGACAATGGTTGGATGGACAGTGTACTCTTTGATGACTGGTTGAGGGATGTCTTCATTCCTTCAGTCAAGCATAAAGGAGTACAATTTCCTGTCCTGTTGTTTGTTGATGGACATTCAACACACATCACATGGGATGCATCAGAAATTTGCAAAAAGAATGATGTAATTCTTTACTGTTTGCAAGAACATGCATCTCAGTTGATGCAACCTTTGGACCTTCGCCTATTCAGCTCGCTAGTATGGTGATCTACCCTCAGTTGTTGGCGATCTATTGCCTATTTTTATATTGTGCTGTCCCCTAATGTTAAAATGTTTTAGATTTAATTACTAGTTTTACATGTATATCTGTGTTATTCTAGTTGTTTTACTGTCCTTCGTCGGCAGGTTTTTATAATATCTGTATATATATTCTATTTAAATGTCAAATGTTCTCGTCACGATATGGCTGAAATATTGCCGATGTGACGTTAAATATTAACTCACTCACTCACTCACTCATTCCCCCAGCCTCTATATATCCTGGACATCCTACTATTCGTGTAGCCTCTACTGCGTCTGTGCCCACCAGTCATGATTCCACAGAAGTGACACAAGGACAGGATCAGTTGTCCGTGTTTGAATCTATTCTCGGGGAGGACACTGTGAAGCTGTACGAGAAACAGAAAGCTACGACGTTCCAGACAATATGTACCAGATATGGTTGAACTTGAAACAGACCAGCATATCGCCATTCGGGAGATTTCTCAATGTGCCGAGTGTACCGCATGGGAAAAAGAGACGAGGAGGAAGAACACAGTCACTGCCAAAAGCGATAACGGGAGATGCCTATAGGCAGATTTTGCAGGATAGAAAAAAAAAGAAGAAGAGATTGAACAGCTAAAGGTGATGAAACGTACAGAAAGGGAAGAGAAAAGAAGGAAGAAAGAAGAGGACCGGGAACAGAAGAAAAGAGGTAGGGACGAGAAACGGCGATTAAAGGAAGCTGAGAAAGAAAGAAGAAGAGCTGAAAGACGCATGCTGGACACAAGCGAGGAGGCGGACTTCTCTCTAAATGACTCAACTGATTTCGAAATGACCCCCGTCGGACAAACCTCAAAATGTTATAAGTGTGAACTAGCATATGACAACAGGCCTTCAGCTTGGATTTCCTGTGAAAAATGTGAACCTTTGTTTCATCTCGACTGCAACGATGTACCTGTTGATGATCTCACACCTGAAGAAATCATTGACTTTCCGTTTGAATGCCTTTTCTGCTGAATTTGTGAATAGTGAATGTATACCTTCAAATTGCTATATTTTGAACACAAATGTAGTAATATTGCTTCTGTATTTAGACCTACTGTATATAAAATTACTGAATTGACATCGTTAAGTTACATGTAATCGGAATCACATGTGTTTTCATGGTAATCATGTTACCCATTTACCTGGCTAAACTGACCATATTTCTTTAAGGAGACTCGATGTGGTCTGATTTATAGTTTGTGGTTCTTTCATATTGCTCTTTCGCATACGTTACACGTTTCAGTAAAATGTACTGATCAATGCCTATCAAGTACTTTCATGCAGGTTAAGATCAATACCCAAAGAATGTTTGTCTTTGTCAATAACTGGTGATAGCTGACCAATGGTTGTGTATTATAATCAACTGGTAATTCCCATCAATCTATAATTGTTATGATAACTCACTTCTTGATTTTTCTGTAAATAGGCGAGTATTGTTCACAATCACCTGTAGCTAAAGTGACGACGTAAATCCAACTGGGGTATTTGCAGGAAGCTGAGGTACCGTAAGTCCCCATAATCCCCAGTGAGGTGGCCTATCTTTGGTTGCTGGTGGCTACAACCCATGTCTTTAACAGTTGTAGATAGTACTGTCATGAGATGAATCGTTCAGGACAACTTTGTTGCACACAGAACAAGAAAATCCCTCCGCCATACGCACATTATGAAAGAGTTGTTACCTGGTATATAACTGCTCAGCATCACACCTGATATATAACTTTTTACCACATGAAATGTTTTTGACACGTCCTGACATGCGTAAATTGCATAAATGGGCTAAATTATACCGGCGTAAATTATTTCATATGATGCGTTCATGGCAGCATTTGAATGGTACATATGTGACTTGTTTTACATGATTACGGGTGAATGTTATGATGATTAACTGGATGTTGAGATACCATATCAAACAATAGCATGTCTGACCTTGTTAGCAAAGAAATGAATGATC